TAAAAATCACTGGGTCTGTTTTTCTTTTTTTTCCCCCTTTTCTGAAGATGGGAGCCACCCTTTTCCAATCTTCAGGTACTTTCCCTGTGCTTAAGGATTTTTGAAAGATTTGGTGCAGTGGCTCTGACTGCCGGCTCCTTCAGAACTCTGGGATGTCATCTGTCAGTTCCCAGTGATTTTTATTCCTCAAGGCCAGATAGGCGTTCTCTTATTATTTTCTTGCTTATTTTATTTTTTTTATTTCTAGTTTGTCTTTTGCAGTAGTTTTTTTGGGGTATGTTGGGCTATAATTTATTTTTGTGCAAAGATTATGCAAAGAATGACTTAAGCAGCTGTTTCCTCCCTACTAGCTGCTACCTCCTTGCCACTTTCTCTCTTTAGTGGACCTAAATTCCTTGATTTTTCTCTTGTTATTTGTATGTTGAAAGAAACTTTTTAAAATTATCTTTGACTTTTGTTGCAAGTTCTGAGCCTTTGCTTTCCTGACTTCCTCTTTGCAGATTCTGGCTGTCTGCTGATAATTAGCCTTAGTTGTGTGTCCTTCTTTCCATTTTTTTAATTGTATTTTTTTGTCTTTTAGTTTGTCAGAGAGACCTTTGTGAAGCCATGCTGGTTTCTTCTTGATTTTCTTTTTTTAATTACTTTTCATTATGCAATTTCCTTTGTTATATATAAATTTTTCATATCCACAATGGCAGTGTAATGTCTGGGTACAATCTCTTTTAAATACAAATAACAAACCTTATGCACACTTTGATTATAACCATTGTTCACTAAATCTATTCACCATAATTTTCACTTATCCTCATTAAATGGTTTTCATTATTTAATTAAACACTGTTCAGGTTTATCATATAATTAGTTAATATCAAACCTTATAAATATCACATTTATCACCATAATCCTCCAAATCAAATAATATTTCCTTATCCTACTTATTCAACATTCATTATTTAGTTACACACTTACTTCATTTTTATTTACATATCCTCCTTAATTTTAATTTTCTAGCTTCTGCTTCTATTTTCTTTCTTGAATGTCTTGTTTTTCCTTTTCAGTGGTATTGTGCTGGGCTGGGCTTTTACGGTGGCATTTTTCAGAGTTTCCCACGCTTCTTGACTTGTTTTCCCCTTTAGGATTTTCATCCGTGGAATCTTTCCTAGGCTCTCTCTGAGTTTGTTAAGACCAGCTCTTTTAAAGTTTAAGACATTGGTTGGATTATTTTCTATTTCTTGTGTTTGCATTATATTGAATTCCAGGATGACGTGCTCATTTTCACCCAAGGTTCCGGTAACTTCAACTCCCTCCATCACTTCTTCTCTATTAGTATGAATGAAGTCCAGTATATATTTCTACTTTGAGTTGCCTCCTCCTCGTCTTTTTGGATGATAAAGTTGCCGGCTAGGTTAGATAGGAATCAGTTTGATCTCCTACTCGCTGCAGAGTTTGCCTCCCCTTTGATATCTGGATAGTTAGAGTCTCCCATTACTAGTTTATTTTTTTTTAGTTTTATTAAACATTTATAGGCCGCCCTTTTCCCTGAGGGGACTCAGGGCGGCTTACAATAATAGATTGTAATTGTAATTACTATTGTGATGTGCTTCCCACATACGTTTGTTAACGGGTTGGCAAAGAGTTTGTCTATTTCTTCTGATTGATTGGGTGGCCAGTCACTTGGTCCTCCAAAAAGGATCCATCCATGTGTGTTTGTGTGTGTGTGAGAATGGGAGGGGCTTGGTGCCTGGAGACAAACCTGTCTTTGCTCTTCTTCCTCCTTCCCTGAAAGCCTCTAATGGGAGGGAGACCTTGGCTGAAGCCCCAGCACTGAGGGGAAAAGGAGAAAGTGGGCAGGTGTGTGAATTTGAGTGTGTGAATGTGTGTGTGTATGCACAGAAACATTCTTGGCTGGCTTTATTCCCCTCCCCCCCAAATATAGACAACCTGGAGATGTTACCTGATTCTCACCAGGGACCCTATTTTTAGGAGACAGAAGGAAGGTCTCTGCATCCCCCCCCCCAGACTCCACCCCAAAAGAATCCCCAATTTCAACATCAAGGCATCCCTTTTCCCTCTGGGGAAAGAGAGTCATGACCCTGCATCGCCCTCTACTGGTGCAGAGAGGAATTGCAACCATCGTGTTTATGTAGTGCAGGGGCGTCAAACTTGATTTCATTGAGGGGATCGGTTAGGGGTGGGCGTGGCCAGGGTGGCTGTGGCCAGTTCAACATCACTTGTGTCAGGGGTGTCCCGAAGACTCTGCCAGCAAAAGCGGTCTCCCGAGCTTCGTTTTCAGCTGTGACGGCCTCCCGAGTTCCATTTTCCCTGGCAGAGGCACTGTGGACCAGTCCTTCAGGGTTTCCAGCCCATTGGGTCAGATCTAAGCACCCCGAGGGTTGTATCCGGCCTGCTGGCCTTGTGTTTGACACTCCCAATGTAGTGAATATCGGAGGCCTTGACCCTTTGAGAGCTAGCATGCGATGAAATTTCATTTCAATTTATGCCAATTAGTATACATTGAAAGCGACAATAAACTTATTCTAGGTTCTAAGTCTAAGTTCCAGAAGTGGGTTCTGGCTTCTGTTACTGCTGGTTCGCTCAGGGATGTGCTTCGGGCGCTTTGCGCGCATGAGCAGTATTTTAAGAAATGCTGCTGTGCATGCGAAGAAGCAAAAAACAATACACTGATAGAACAGGTTTGGCGCCGTGGCTGGCCGAGTTACTACCTAATCAGCCGAACCGGTCTGAACCGGTGGGAACCCACCTCTGCTAGGTTGCACCTAGAACAATATGACTGGAAGGACAAGGTTATGTTATTCAAAGGAATACCATTCAAACCCTAACCATCATTTAAAGGAAAAAGGGGTCACAGTCCAGTTTGGCAGCATGTCAACCAAGCCCAGGGGGAGTTTTCACTCAAAGGGTGTGTTGCTCCTCTGCCCCCAAAAATGCCTGTCCCGCTGTACCCCATCCTTGCCCGAGGATCTGACCACTTGGGACCCCAGGAGGTTTCGGTGGAGCCACCAGCTGTCCACTGCCCCACTGCTCTGGGCAGAGGAGCCCTTGCTCATCCCCCTCTAACCGAAACCTCAGCGCTCACATCCTGCAGGCCCTTAAAAGAGAGTCGTGGATCAGACGCGGCGTCCTCCAGAAGGTTCTTCTCTCTTGCAGGGCCCCAGAATCGTCAGCGACACACACCCAACCTGAGCATGGTGCATGCAGAGGAGACCGTTGTGACCCCAGCCCTGGGACGCCCCTTCCAGCTGGGCATGCTGTACGATTGTCGCAAGGATGAACTGATCCCAGGTAAGAACTGGAAGAGGGACGGAGGGGTCTCGGGAGGGGGAGAGGGAGGCGGGCACTGCCATCAATGCTCAGGAACACTTCAGTTTTTTAAAAAAATATGAATTGCATTAGTTCACAGTATAAGATACAAAGGAAAAACAAAAGTGAAGAGTAGGAAAATTAGGGAAGGAAAACGTGGGGGAAAGCAAGGTGGGGAAGAAAAGAAAAGCCATTGACTTCCAACTCCCTTTGGTGCAGTAGAATTGAACCTGAACATCAAAGCTCAACTTTTTTTACTTTTACATAATTGTATAAACTAGCCAATTCACTATTTTTTATTTCTTCAGTCAATGTAGCTGTCCCTGATAGTTCCATCCGTTTTGGAAGCCATTCGGCCAGTGTGGGGATCGAGGTGATCTTCCATTGCTGCCCAATACATGCAGAACAAAGTCGATTTCATTGAGGGCTGCATCCGGGTTGTGTTTGACCTCAAGGGGCTGGGTGGGCGTGGCCAAAGTGGGTGTGGTGTCAGCAGGCAGAAGCACAGGGTGGGGGAGGTAGGGGATCCCGACATCCTGTGCGGTTGCCTGACCCAGCACAACGAGAGATGGTGGGACAGAATGGGAAGTACATTGGGACTGCCTGCCCCCCCCCCCTCCTCATGCCTCTCCCTGTCTCTGCTGCACACTCTTCACGCAGAGGGAGACTACTTGCAAATGGGGCACTTTGAAATGGAGCTAATAGGTGGTCATGTGACCGGGTGGGCATGGCCAATTAAGCAGTCCATTAAGCAATAGACACAAATTAAACTTTGTTTTCTCCTTGGGAGTGTTTTATTTCTTCCTTTTTTCTTTTAATTTTTTTTTTATTGAAGGTTATAAAAAAAGGCAAGATTTACAAAATACAAAAAAAATAAAATAAAAATCATTACATATTTACAGCGCAGACGGCACTGTTCATCTCACATAGTTCATCTCACCTTGCCTAGTATAAGACTAGGTTACTAATTCTATGCAGGTATTTATAACGGATTTTTCCTATCAGATCATCAAAGTTTTTCCAACACTGTAGTCTATTGATATTACGTGTAGGTGAATTCTCACCTCTAATACATTTCTTATCTCATTTGTCACTTAGTCTTTGTGTATTGTATATTTAAATTGTTACTTAAGTCATTTTAAGTTAATCGGCTATCTCATTTTATATCTTAATTCTCATTGTCTTTCTTATCAAACCATTTGTATAATTTCTCCCAGACTTTGTAGAAGTCTGTGTCTTCTTTTTCGTTAATCAGCATTGTTTTATTTCTTTCTGTTTGCAGCCCGTTTTTGGCCTCCCAGGACATCTGCACAGCCCGTTTTTGGCTTCCCCGTCCTCCAAAAAGTGGGCGGGGAGGGCAATGTGGACGGGGCAATCTCTTGGTCCCGCATGGGCCTGATTAATGGCTTCAGCAGGCCACATGTGGCCCGCGGGCCATAGTTTGAAGACCCCTGTGCTAGACCAATCAAAAGAAAAGAAACCAAAACTCCCCCCCCCCTTCCAGCCAAAGCAAAGCACCGTTCAAGGAAGCTTTGGGTTAAAAGTAAGAGTTCAGCAGAATCGGGTGAAGCTTATTAATTTGGCCTCCTGAAGCCTCAGAAATGATGATATTCCACAAAAAGGAAAAAGCAGGCTGCCTCCAGGGGAAGCCTCTTTTAAGAAGAAAAGATAAACATCTAAAAACGAGTGTCTATGAAGCAGTGACGGAATGTACTGTCCATTTAAATGGCAGGTTCCTACACGATGAACTTCCCCTATCCGCGGGGACGTTTCTTCTGCCTTGGAAAGCTTTCTAGAGCAGTGTTTCTCAACCTTGGCGACTTTAAGTCCTGTGGACTTCAACTCCCAGAATCCCCCAGCCAGCTGTGCAGCTGGGAGTTGAAGTCCACAGGACTTCAAGTCGCCAAGGTTGAGAAACACTGTTCTAGAGCATTTGACGGTGGGGGAGTCCGAAACAATCTAAAAAGATTATAACCAGCCAGTCTGCTGATTTCTTCCAGACATTAGTCTAGGCCCGTGATGGCGAACCTATTGGCACGCTTGCCAAAGGTGGCACGCAGAGCCCTTTTTTGAGGGCACGTGAGGCATCACCCTGTCAGCTCCAGTGCGCATGCGCGCACTGGCAAGATGATTTTCGGCCTTGAGTTTGGGCTGTTTTTCGCCCTCCGGAGGCTTCAGGAGGCTTCCCTGAAACCTGCAGAGGGCAAAATAATGCCCAAGGCACAAAGCGGAAGTCCAGAGGCTTCAGTGAGGCCTGCGTGCATATGCGGGGTGGGGTGGGGGTGGGGTTGTGCCAGCATGTGTGGGGGGGAGAGCACTGCATTATGGGTGTGGACATGCACCTGACCTTTGCTGTTGGCACGCCTTGACCAAAAGGCCTAGGCACACTTCAGAGTTGAGTTCCTGGGCCTATGGCCTACTGGTAGAGGCATCTGCCTGGGAATGAGTATGCTTCCTTTGGCCAGGCACATAACAGGGCACCCTGGATTGTCCACACGATGGACTTTCTCCCCCAAACCAAACTCACTGAAATGGTTTGGGAAATGGCTAAAAAAAGGAGTCGAGATCCCACCCAGAACAGTGAAGGGAGGGGTGTAATTCTCAAGTTGTGGGACTGGTACCTTTGCTAGGAGGGGCAGGTATGAACAGAGAAGATGCCTGAAGAACCAGGAGAGACATGATAGCAGTGTTCCGATATCTCAGGGGTTACCACAAAGAAGAGGGAGTTAAACTATTTTCCAAGGCACCTGAGGGCCGAACAAGAAGCAATGGGTGGAAACTAATCAAGGAGAGAAGCAACTGAGGAGAAACTTCCTGACAGTTAGAACAATTAATCAGTGGAAGTTGTGGATGCCCCAACACTGGAAGTCTTTAAGAAGATGTTGGACAGCCATTTGTCTAAAACGGTATAGGGTTTCCTGCCTAGGCAGGA